AATACTTCAAATCAGTAGATACATGTACCAGGTTAGTAGAGTCAAAAGAAAAAGTTACATTAGGATTTCCTGGAAAAAAAAAGGGGGGGGTAGCTGTAGTGGTGAGGGCTCAAAATTTTCTCACCCAACTTGTTTTGTCATAGTTTCTGGGCTTTTCATTATGCTACCAAACAGGCTCAAAAAAGGCATTGTCAGAGATATACTGAGGCCCCAGGAGGCAACCACAGCCCACCAAAGCAGTCTAAGAAGAAAAATTGCCACTTAAAAAAGTCTTCAAGCAAGTTGGGACCAAGTTCTTAGATCTTCTCTTTGACCAAATTGTATTCATTCTTTTCAAGCAGATAGAAATCTACCAAAACAAATCCTTGGGCAAAATGAAAGAATGACAGAGATTTGTAATTTGATAAAGACTTCAAACACTCAACTGAAAATAACTTGCATTTAGCTTTTTGAACATCTAAAAATATCGCATACACTCAATCTTTGTAATAAGCTGTCTCTATGATGGGGATTCCATTGGCATAGTTGTTCTTTGTTGTAGCATGTTACCTGTTTCAAGAAACATAACAATAGTTCTTTTCCTACATCAAAGGACTTAAAAAACTTAACCTCTAACAACTAGTATGTTGGTTTCATTACCCCTATTTTCTTGGTTGCAAAACTGAGGTGCAACGGGTAAATGAGACTTGCCTGAAGCCAAAGAAAGATTCCTGTCTAGATTAAATGGAAAATTATCAGCTCCAAAATCTCTAAATTAAGAGAAGCCAAGAGACCTGCAATATAAATGTTTTAAACATAGACTACAGAACTCTATTATAGACTTAGTCTGGTGAGGCATTTTAAATATACCTCACTAACCTGTTCTTAAAACACTTATCTAAAGAATAACCACATTCTGTTTCTAAAGCATGAAAGTAGCACTAATGATTGATTACCTTCGACAGTCAGAGGAGAACCTAATGTGTGTCAGGCTCAGTATCCAAAGAGTTGTTAACTACTTTATGTGCTGATGACAGACTGCAGCCCTCTTGCTCAAGAAAAAAAGTCCTTGCTCAAGAAAAGTCAGGCTCACTGCTCCTATGGCTCCAGACAAGGACAGAAGGTCTTCCTACAAAGCTGGATTTCCCTGCACTTAGAGAAAGATATAAATAAGCAACAGCTGAATCCTTGTAAGACAAGGATACAAGTTTCTTGAGTCTTATTAGGAAGATGTGCTAATTTTTAAATACAATTTATATAGAAATATTTAATTAAGAGTTCTATATAGACTTAAGAGTCACTTAACTGCATACTTTTTTTTTGTTTAAGATTTATTTTATTTGTACATACAGAACTGGGGTACAGGTCAGAGGCTCAGGGGCGGTGAGAGGCTTCACCAGAGACAGAGTGGGGAGCAGAACAGGCAGATCTAGGAAGTACACTACTGAGGAGAGCAGCGGGCGGGTCAGGAGAGGTCTGCCTCGCCATGTGGTCACCTCCGGAGCAGGCGGGAATCGAACTCATGTGAAGTGGCTTTAGCTTCTCAGTGCAGTGCTTTAACCCGCTGCGCCACCAGGGAGGGCCCCATACTTTATTTTTTTAAAAGATTTATTTATTTATGCCTACAAGAACTGGGGTACAGACCAGAGGTGTGTGGGGGTGAGAGGATTCATCAGAGACAGAGCAGGGAGCAGAACAGGCAGACCTACTGAAACACACTGCAGAGGGGAGAAGCGGGCGGATCTGGCGAGGTCTACTACGCCATGTGGGTCACCTCCCTGACCTGGGATTGAGCTTGTGCTGCAGTGGATGTAGATAGCTTCATAGTGTTGTGCTTTAACCAGTTGTGCCACCAGGGAGGGCCCTTAACTGCACACATACAAAGATTTTTTTAGGGACTTCCTAGTGTTGCAGCAGCTTAAAGCATAGGACTATGAAGCTGTCTGCAGCCACTGCAGCATGAGTTCAATCACTGGCCAAATGGGGTGGCATACCTCTCTTGTCTCGTCCACTGCTCCCCTCATCAAAATATTTCAATCTGCCTGTTCTGCTCCCCACTCTGTACTGAATCCTCTCAACCCTGCACCTCTGGCCTGTATCCCAGTTCTTGTATGCAAAAATAAATAAATCTTAAAAAAATAAGAGTTCTTGATATACATATAAATATCTAATGTACATAAAAATTTGACATGGATGAACCCCATGGAGGTCCTCTCAAAAAAGAGAAGATAAAGTAACTCTGAAAATGCCAGCAGCTAACCTGCTCTAAAGTCAAGGGTCTAGAGTTAGAGTAGATTATAATGACTACTAAAGGCTGTTTTTTGGAAGTAGCATGATAGAATAAGAAAAATGGGCACTTGTGATGAACAAATGGATCTCAAAACGCAGGACCTGGTTCCAGTTTTGGCTTAGAATCTTACCAAGAGTGGAATTTGGTGCTGGGTATCTAAGCTCTTTCAGTATGTTTTCTATTCTGAAAAATGGAATAATGCATGTACCCTTCAAGGCCAAACACAATAATAAATACGGAAGATCTCCCTTATGATTGTCAGAGCAAATGTTTCAGTAAGTCCAAGGAAAAGAAAAATTATATCCCTCATAATCAGCTAATAAGTTAACTTCCTACTTTAGAGTAGTATCTAAGAATAGAGTTCTGAAGTACATTAATTTATCAAATGCATTCATTTATAAGTGTTCAACTAGTTGTAGATACAGATATTGAGTGTATGGTCAGCTATTATAGCTGTTATTACAAAGCAAGCTTCTGTTGCTCCTCAATTTCATTTTCCATCTGCCTTTCTAGGCTTTCAAAAAAAGATCAAATTAAACCTCATGGATATAATTCAAGCTGTCACCCAGAAAGAAAAAAAGGCTACTAGTTACATGTTTTCTTTTCTAGTTTATCTGAAAGAAATATCTAAAACTTCTCACAATTTGGAGCTGACAACATCTCCTTATATCTCAGTGTTATAGTAAATCTTCAACTGTCAAAGTATAGGTGCTACCAAAAATTTCATGCTTTTACTGGAACAGGTCTATCCTGATCACTAGGAATATTTATCTCTCCTTATCTCTTCACCATTACAAATTCCTATTCTTCCTACAAGATTCAATTAGACCATGACATTAATGAACTGTTCTCTTTCAACAAGCTGATTAAAACAGTGTTTCTTGAATGTTCCTCTAGAGGGCACTTAACATAGTACTCTTCTATCATTTTCCTACTCTACAGCAGCACTTTCCATGAAAAATTCAGTTTCCACAGACACATCTGCCATCTTGCTGTACCTAGTAGACACTATCCTACTAATCCTTTGTTCACTCAATACAACTTTAGATGCAACTTTAATAGCTAATTACAGTCTTTCCACCAGAACTTTAGGTAAGTTACACAGTCATTCTGAGTCCTATTTTTTAAACCAGTAAAATGGGGATTAAACATAACATCTAGCTGAGAGTAGTGGAGATTAAATAAAATAACATAAATAGTGTTTAGCATGGAGATTTCTGGTACTGGAAAAGTTATGGAACATATGGAGTAGATGGAAAACTTATGGACATAACAAAAAATTAGTCTAAATGTATTCAAACTTACAAGAAAGGAAAAATGGCAAGTGACAGAACTGAAAAAGCTTGAAAAAACTGAGCTGAAACCTTGGCTGCTCTAGCTGAGGTTTTGGCTACATTGAGCCAAAGATAGTTTGAAGTTAGTATGATGCAGGGAACTTACATCCTCCATAAGTAGCAGTTCAGTGAAAGGGGCAAAAATGTATCTATAGCACAGGTAATATGTTTCTGTCTGGACTTGGGGAAAAGATTCTAACTGGATTTTTCCCCCAAAAGACACTAATTTAGGGCCTCCTTGGTGGTACAAGGGCAACCCCTTGAGTTCATAGTTGAGTCTCAGCACTACAAACCTGTCAGCAGTCACTGCAGCATGAGTTTGATCTCTGGCCAGGGAGGTGGCCCACATGGTGCAGCAGACCTATCCTGTCCCAGCTATTGCTCCCCTCAGCAGTGTATTTCAGTCAGTCTGCCTGTTCTGCTTCTTACTGTGTCTCTAGTGAATCCTCTATGCACCTCCTCTCACCCTCCCCCTCACTGCCACACCTCTGGCCTATACCCCAACTCCTGTATGCATAAATAAAATAAAATCTTAAAAAAAAACTTAAAAACAAAGGACATCAATTTAAGAATTATTTACAGGGGCTATTTCTCAACTTATGACCACAGGCCACTAGAGATCCTGTGTCTTCATATCTACATGCCCTTGTCATTTTTTTCTTTTTTTTAAAGATTTATTTATTTATGCATACAGAACTGGGGTACAGGCCAGAGGTGTAGGAGCAGTGAGAGGGTTCACCAGAGATACAGTGGAGAGCACAAAAGGCTAACCAAGTACACTGCTGAGGGGAGCAGCAGGTGAGGACAGGAGAGGTCTGCTGTGCCATGTGGATCACCTCAGGGCCTGGAATCAAACTCCCACTGAAACAGCTGGGCTAGTTTGCAGTGCTGCACTTTAACTATTGATACACCCGGGAGGGCTGTTTGTCAGTTTCTTAAACAAAGGAAACTAAAAGTTCAAAAATTATCAAAGAGAGGAGTCTGGATTTTTGAAAGTTCCTCTCCATTTCCTTCTAAACAATCTCTCATCTGCAGAGTCAACCGATTACTATCACCATATGTTAATTTTGCTTGTTCATGGACTCATTTAATAAAAATGGAATCTTTTGAAATACATTTGAAATACTTTTTTTTATAAAGATGTTTATTACTCAAAAATATTGGAAAACCCATGACTGCGACTACTAAACACATACATCTTTACCATTAATCAAAGTAAAAAGCACTTGAGTATATGGATAACAAAGTATGAGATGCAAGAATACACTTAAAAAAGGATAGTAAACTATAATGCACTGGGAAATGATAAGCATTATAAACTGTAACAGACTGGAAAAAAACCAGTAAGATGATACTTATTTTCAACAAATAATGAAAACTAAGAGATAGTTTTTCACCTTAAGTTTTGGATATATGTAACGTAGAGAATCTGCAGTTCCCATGTCAGCTTCATCAGGAATACACACAATATCTGGCTTCATTTTCATCTTGAATTCTGCACTTAGAGCCTTTTGGACATCCTTAGTTGTAACAATAATGACTTCTACAGCATGAAAGAAAAAAGGAAAAGGAAAAACACAAAAACTCTCATTCTTTAGACAATAATTTCACTACTTCAATTAAATTTGCTCTGTTCCTAGAGGTAATACTAAGTATTATTGAGCCTTTTCAATGTATTTTACACACGCTCTCCCAATTCTTACAAAAAAAAAATCTCATTTTATAAATGAGGAAATTTGGATTAAAAGACATTAAATGGGACCCTCCCTGGTGGCGCAGCGGGTTAAAGCACAGCACTAAGAAGCTAAAGCCACTTCCGCATGAGTTCGATTCCCGCCTGCCCCGGAGGTGACCACAGGGCGTGGCAGACCTCTCCTGACCCGCCCGCCGCTCCCCTCAGCAGTGGACTTCGTCGATCTGCCTGTTCTGCTCCCCACTCTGTCTCTGGTGAAGCCTCTCACTGCCCCTGAGCCTCTGGCCTGTACCCCAGTTCTGTATGCACAAATAAATAAATCCTAAAAAAAAAAAGACATTAAATGACTTTGTTCAAAGTTAGGCAACCAGTAAGCAATGATTCAAAAATAAAGCTCAGGTCTATATGATTACAGCCACACATTAATATGTTACATGCCACTTCTTGAAGTAAAGAATTCAGAAGAAGACCTCACTGGTGGCACAAGGGGTTAGACTAGGAAGCTATCTGCAGTATTGCAGCATGAGTTCAATCCCCAGTCAGGGAGCTGACCCACATGGTGCAGCAGACTTCTCTTGTTGCGCTTGCTGCTCCCCTCAGCAGTGTATTTCAGTTGACCCGCCTGTTCTGCTTCCCACTCTGTCTCTGATGAGTCCCCCCCCATCCCCCTGAACTTCTGGCCTACACCCCAGGTCTTGTATGTATAAGTAAATAAAATAAATCTTTAAAAAAATTCAGAAGAGGGCCCCCCCGGTGGCGCAGCAGGTTAAAGCACAGTAGTGAGAAGCTAAAGCCACTTCTGCATGAGTTTGATTCCCGCCTGCCCCAGAGGTGACCACATGGTGTGGCAGACCTCTCCTGACCCGCCTGCTGCTCCCCTCAGTAGTGGACTTCGTAGATCTGCCTGTTCTGCTCCCCACTCTGTCTCTGGTGAAGCCTCTGGCCACCCCTGAGCCTCTGGCCTGTACCCCAATTCTGTATGCACAAATAAATAAATCTTTTAAAAAAAATAAATTTAGGAGAGAATTAACTATAAATAAAGAGCTATCACACTTCCCTCTTCTTCACTTAGGATCATAATGAACCCTAGTTAAAGGCACTTTCTATAGTATACATATCTTCAACTTATCTAGGTAGCTAGCAACCAAAAACACTTGGAGTTTTATCATGGGTCTTTGGTTGCATAATATAAAAATAATCTACTGCAATATTACATGCGTTGCTGATATGTGAAGATTGAATTTTAGAACCTCTGATGTGGTGCTAAGGTCCTACTTTCATGGAGCTGGCTTCCCATACGATTAACTACAGCATAGGTCCATAGGTCTTGAAAGGCACTGAGAAAAAAACACAAAGTGTGATAGAGGCACTGAGGTCAGGGGGATTAGAGGTTTCTACTAGAGATATAATGCTGTTAGAGATTTCAAAGAGAAAGTGACTCCCGTAGATTGAAGAGGACATTTTAGGTAGAGAGGACAGAGTGAAGGGAGTAGCTGCAAATATGGGATGGTCAGTTAAATGGAACAAGACTATTCTCTATGGAGAGAGACAAACGTGAAGCATGGCTATACTAACTGCTTTAAAATCGTGAACAATTTGAACAGAGTGAACATAGGCTTGGCTATGATGCTTCTGAATCTATGTTTAGGAGCTTCAGTGAGAAGGAATTTTTCATATAGAGAATATTAAATATACTAAAGGTCACCCTCCCAAATGCAACTAAAGATATAACAAAAGTAACTTTTAAAAAGTGACAGATGAAAACCCAAACTTACAGGACAACTCAAATCAAATGTGGACAAAGCTGAACTCATCTTTTTCAAATCTGTTCCTTTTCTCATATGCCCCTTTCTAGTTAATGGCATTATCGTCTCCCTGGCCATACAAACAAACAGAGAGGGAACACTTCCCTCTTTTTTACTACCCCCTATTAATCATCAACTTTCTCAAAGGTTCCCTCTTCTACATTCTCAGTGCTTTATTTAGTTCAGATTCTCTTCATTGATGATACAGATTTCTGCATCAATCCCCTAACTTGTCTCCCTGCTTCTAGTTTTGACTCCCTCAAATATTTTCTTCACACAGAGCCTAAGCAATTTTTTAAAAAATGTAAATCTAAATGGCCAAGTTTACCAATAACAAAGTGGTTCAAAATATTTGTTTATTATCTGTTTAAGGTATGTAGGATGTGTGCTTCCTCTTCCTGTTAATAATTCATGTCTTTTCCCCTTTGATTGCTCTAAATACAAATTTAGCAATTTTATTGATTTCTCCCTGAAGAATCAATGTTTGATTTTTATTGATTTTTCTCTAATACTTCTATTTCATTTATTTCTGTTCTTATCTTTTTTTTTTTAAGATTTATTTACTTATGCATTTAAGAACTGGGCTACAGGCCAGAGGTGAGACAGTAAGAGGATTCACCAGGGGCAGAATGGGGAACAGAACAGGTGGACTGAGTGAAATACACTGCTAAGGGGGGCAGTGAGCAAGACAGGAGAGGTCTGATGTACCATGTGGGTCACCTGCCTGGCCAGGAATGGAACTAGTGCTGCAGTGGCTATGGATAGCTTTAGCTTCTTTGCACCAGGGAGGGCCCTCTTATCTTTTTTTTTAACCTCCTATTATTATGAGTTCATTTCTTTTTCCAGTTTCTCAAAGTAGAAGACTTGAGACAATTTTTGTTTTGTTATAGCCTTTTCATTTTCAGTAAGTTAAAAATAGTTTCTAAATTCTCTTGTGATTTCTTCTTTGACAGATGGGTTATATAGAGCGATATGTCTTAACTCCATATATCTAAGGATTCTCTTAATATCTTTCTGTAATTGATTTCTAATGTAATTCTACTTAGCCAGATAATATATTCTGTATGATTTTAATACCAATAAATTTACTGAGACCTGTTTTATTTCCCAAAATATGGTCTATCTTGGCAAAGTTCTGAGCGCTTGAAAAGAAGTGCTACTGGTTGGAATGTTCTATATATGCCAATTAGAATTCCTTAGAAATCCTAAGGAATCTATAAAAAGCTGTAAGAGTAAATAAGTTTTTCAGAAATTTTGCAGAATAAAGGCCAATAGAAACAACTGGAAATTGGAATTAACAATTACTCACAATAGCTTCAAAAATATAAACTACTGGGGCCTCCCTGATGGCCAGCAGTGTATTTCAGTATATCTGCCTGTTCTGTTCCCCACTTTGTCTACAGTGAATGCTGTCACTTCCTGCATCTCTGGTCTGCACCCCAGTTCTTATATGCATAATAAATAAACCTTTAATATATATATGTGTGTGTGTGTGTGTGTAAACTGCTTAGAGACAAATTTAACAAAATATGTTTTAGTTCTGTACACTGAATTCCATAAAACACTGAGTGAAATTACAGAACACTTAACTAAATAGAAGGATATACTGAGCTCATGGATCAAAAAATTCAACATTGTTAAGATGTGAATTCTATTTATTGAACAATTGCTCCCAGTCAAAATCCTAGCAACACTTTTTGAAGAAATCGACAAGCTTATTCTGAAATTTATGTAAAGATGCAAAGAACCTAAAAAAGCTAAAATATTAATCTAACCATATTATATCTTTGTTTAAAGCTTTCACTGGTTTGCCACTGCTTTCAAGGGAAAAAAAAGGGAATTTCTCAGCATGGAATACAAAGCCCTTCAAAGGATGGCCCCTGGGGCCCTGTGTATCTTTTTCACTACATATACTCCTCCTCCTTAACATTTTATATTACAGCCAATAATAATATGCTGTGCTGAACATGATCTGTATTTCTGCAGATGTTATTACTTCTGCATAGAAAACTCTCTTCACACTGATCAATATGGTAATCTATTCTTCAAGATTCACCCAAGGGCAGCTACTCTATGGAGACCTCCCTAAACCTGTTGGGGAGTTTTCTCAAGGATTTATAATATCTCACTGCTAAAATAATCACATTACACAATTATAATATATTTGCATGTGTTTCTCTCCTCTAGACTTTAAGGAAAATCTGGACCTGAGTCATCTTTTTTGTGCCTCTGTGTTTCATATACTTCCTGACACATACATCTTCTCAGTAAGGTATGGACAATGATGCATCTGGATTCCCACTGTGTTCTTTCTAATAGTCTTACAGGTTTCAAAGTGAAGACCAGCTCTGAAAGAGTAACAATTAATGCTATCGTCTCAATCTTTTCTATACCCAACAGAGCGTTCATATATTCCTAATTTAGAGATCAGTATCCAGCCAACATTGAGTCCTAGTCTTCTCTCATACATCCACTCTCATTCTCATAAATCTGACAAATCTTTGGGATCAAACACCCTAAAAGTTTTATGGGTACATCTCAGTACCATAGCTTACCTTCAAAACCAACGCGCTCAAGCAGGTTCAATGGGTACCAAATTAAAGGTTTGTTCCCAACTGGAAGCAAAGGTTTGGGAATGCTGGAAGTCAGGTCTGTCATCCGAGATCCCCCTCCAACTGCCATCACTACTGCTTGAAATTCCATTTTTACGAACTGTAAGCACAGAAACAACAACAACAATTAATGGGGGAAAGCAACAAAAATCAAAACACATACAATTTTTAACCCAATTTTTATTTAGACCATTGATTCACGTCAAATGCATCACTTCCAACTCCAGTAGCTAGAGATAGTTTCTTAGCTGTAATGTAAACATCACCTCTATAATATCACCAATATATTTTCTCACTCAAGCTTAGGGAGTTGGACTGCAGGAGGAATACAAATTTTTGAAAATCTGTCCCTTGTTCTTGAGTTGTTCACAATCAAATAGAGAAAACATTCTGTGAACTACAAAATACTAGTGCCATGGCAGGCATATTTCCAAGATGCAGTATGCATATAGTGCCTACTCAGTAACAACTAAGTTTTCCTAGAAAACACAGGGGAAATTTTATAGGAGGGTTATATTTGAATTGACCTTAGAAGGAGTAAGAATTTACTATGTGAGCTTCCAATATCTAAGTCCTTATTCCTTGAAATATTTTTAAAACTTCAAATTACTTTTAACAGCACACTGGGTCTCTGAAAAGCATGAAAGGACAAGATTCCTCCAATAAATTCAGCCATCTCTACCATCTTCTGATTATCCCCAACTATGACAGGTTCCACTATAAACACAAATGTAGGAACCTAGATTTGCAGGAGGTCAGTTGCAGAAATAAGCTAAGTTAATTCTTTAAAAAAAAAAACTCAGTGTAACAAAAGAACCTGTTTGATCATCAAAATAATCTCTTTCAGGCAGTTATGGCAGAATAGAGGCACAGTAAAAGGTGAAAATCCTCATTGATTTAAAAGAAAAATATCCTATGACTTTCAATAAATTATATAATCTATTAATTTATTTTCTCAAGTTTTATAAACTTTATTAATCTGCTAGTTGTTTACATAATTATATAACTTGGGAGTATATTTTCACATCTTCATTATGGCACAAAACTCCTGTGCCAATGGATACAATCTTTATCAGGTAAGTTGCATTGTTCACAAAAAGAATTTAACACCAAACTAGCAATTATTGTACTTTTACCATAATATGATTAGGCCTCATATCAATATCTAAATTGCAGCACGTACACCCAAAACAAAAAGTGAAGGTTCTTGCACAACAACCACAGGTTAAAGATGGTTATTTTGATTCCAGCAGGACTGGAATTTAACTTCAATTTAACTTCACCTTATAACTCCCACCACATCTGACGTTATTATGATAAGAATACTGGATCCCGAAAAATCAAAAGAACTGAGTTTAAGTTCTAGTTCTGCCACTTGAGGGTGACCAGAGGCTTGCCACTTAGTTCTTAGCATGCTTCGTTCTTAGAAGAGACCTGATGATTAAGCACACACCCTAGAGTGAGATTGCCTGGATCTGAATTCTAGCTCTCTCATTCATTAGCTGTGTGAACTAGAGCAAGCTCCCTAACTTCACTATGCCTCAATTTTCTTTATTTTCTAGGATGAGGATAATTACAGGTTCTACTTCAGAGCTGAGAAGATTAAGTGAATTATATAAAGTACACAAAATAATATCGACCCATGATATGCACTATAAGTGCTCCATATTAATAGCTAGAAGCTAGGTCATGGAAAGTTTTCTGTGCAACTGAACTATACTGCTGCATAATTCTGATCTCCATATTATTTTTGCTTCCCAGGTTGCCTTTCTCCTGTACCTAATAATCTCCTATTAAACGGTTAAGACTCAATTCAAGAATTAGTTTGCCTTAAAAAAAAAAATCCTAACCCTTCCCACCCTCTTAGAAACTACCCCTTTTCCAGGAGGTACTTCCACTTTACCACTTACAGATCATCTTTGCCTTTACATGTTCATTTCATTGCACGTGTTTAATTAAATGTCTACTTCCTGTGAGTTTCTTGAAGGCAGGGACACTGTCATCACTGTATTCCCAGTACCTTATACACACCCTAGATTCCATTAGATGCCAGGCACTCAGGCACTGTTTGTGGAAGAGTCAAGTCTAAACATATGCAGAGGGGTATTAGCATCGAGATAACTAGGATCTAAGATTCCCACTCCCAGAGAGGCTCTGGGTGAAAAGTTTGCACAAAACTAACCACATCCGAGGCCAACTGTCAAACGCCATCACCAATCTGGGTGATGGGATTCAAGGCCACGAGTGTCGTCAGCCCCTAACGCTGTGGATGGCACCTCAGACGTGCCTCCGCCACAGCACACCTGGTCTTCGGTGAGGTGCTGAGATAAAACACGGTATCGTAAATGTTCTCTCATCCGGACCTTACAGTCTTCCTCTTTGCATTTCACTGCCCTACACCTACAACTTAAACAGGTAAATTAATTACTGATGGGCTGAGGAGGAGAGTTCGACCACTATGTTAGCTTAGGGAGTCAGGTCCTGGGGCAGGTGCTCACTCGCTGTGAGCACATGCTCCGTCCCTGAAACTATTTTTCCATCTGTTGCTTAGGGTGGTGGCGACGGATTCTCCCCCACGCTCCCTTCTAGCTCGGGCGCTTGGCTCCACGGCCGGGTCGGGCAGGGGCTCGAGCTGGCGGCTCTGGGCTCTGCATTCCCGCGCGGCTCGGGGAGCCCTTCTCCTTCGTTTGAAGCGCGGCGGCACAGTCCCCACTGCGCTGCTCACCCTCGCCAGCCAGCTCAAAGAGGCCAGGCAGCACTGAAGCGGTGGCTTTACCTCAGCTCCCCGCGCGCCGCAACCGCTCCAAGCGCTCCCACGCCGCCTGCTTCTGACAGTCCAAAGGCGCAGGCGCGCGATGGCCGAACACATCGATGGGACGCTCTGGGCAGGCCCTCAGAGACGGGACGAGCGCCGAGCGATAGATGATCGAGGGGACGCGCTTTCGCCAGGAGAGAGGAGGAACCCGGGAGAGGAGGCGGGACCTGCTGTGGCTTTTTCCTTCATTCACAAATCAACCACACCCTGCGAGTATCCCTTCCAGGGGAGCGCTTCTAGAACCCAGATCAGAACTACTCAGTCTCCTTCAGAGTTCTTCTCCTCCGCGGAACGCTCTGAAAAGAGATGTCTTAGGGAACCCAGTTTTGAGCTCTCCAGTAGAGAAATCACTAAGTGCCCATCAGGTCAAGGATTGCCAGGGCTTTCTATGTCTATGTGACTAACCCGACGTCTCACTTCAAATTTGTGAAGCAGACCGTTATGTGAGAACTGGAATTGCATTTTCGGAGCCCGCTCACTATTCTGATAGGCTGGAGGGACTATCACAGCCCCTTCATAGACCAGAGAGAACTGGCTGGCCCTGTTCTGTGAAAAACGAAAACAAACAAGCAAACAAAGGCAGAAAAGTCCACATGCCTGTTAGGAAATAAAATCAACAACCCCTCCCCACCACTCAAAACAATGAGTACCCAACCAAAAATCTCATAAGCAGAGTTACGATGAAGTTGAACTATCCTTATTATCTTCCCTCCGATGATGTATATACAACACTAGTTTTTGAGAAAGAACAACAGGGAAATTTTGAAGGTTCGAAACCTATGAAAGAAAACTTGAAATCCTTGTCAAAATGTATATTTTGAATGCTGCGCTGTTTGATGGAAGAAAATGATATTCATGTCTTTCCTAAAGTAGATGATTTCATTCAAACTTGTGACCGAAGAGCAGTTTTCTGAGTAAAATCTATCAGACTATTCCCAGGTTTGAATCCTCACTTGATTATCGAATTTACTTGTCTAATTATCCCTATTACTGGAATCATTATTTCAGTCCACATAGCGTATGGAAAGTACCCACCTTTAGTCATCAAAAGAGTGGAAGTGAGGGGGGAGTCAGTATAAGCCTCACAAAGAAGGTGACACCAATAGATTGAAGAGAGTAGATCAGTGGATGTCTTAAGAGCCTTCTAAGCAGACAAACCAGCAAATATAAAAGCTCTGAAGAGAGACTTTATATTCAAATAATAGCAGGCAATACAATAAGGCTGAAGAGAAGTCAGAGGGGCAGTAAGTGGACAGAGGGATCAGGGAGGCAATAGGTGGAGAGTTTAGATCCTATGGGTATTGTAGGTCATTGTGAGGACCTTGAATTTAGCAAGGCAAATGACATGACAGGTGTCTAATGGATCACTTTGTTTGCTGCAGTGATAATAGATGCCCTGGAAACATACTGTTCACTTAAGAGACTGTGGCTTCATGGAAAACTCCAAATACCTAGTCTGGACAACTTCAACAACTATGAGAAATAATAGTAAAATATTTTAAGGATAAGTTTGGGGTAAGTTTATTAAGCTGCAGTAGATAACCAAAAACAATAGTTATTTCTACCCACATGTTTCTGAAATTTCCTCATCTTTTGGAAACTTTCTCTTTGTCTATCCATCTCTTGCATCTTGAGTTCCATTCGCTTCCAGTTTGGAGACAGAATTCAATTTCTGCAACAAAATATAAAGAAGTTTGACTTCTACAATATTTACTGAATGTGTATTAATGTGCCAACAATGCCTTTGAAATTTTTTATATATATTTTTTTACATTGTGATTCAATTTTGGACCATATTTGACTTCTCCCCTCACTGTAGTCCCCATACTTCTCCCACCACCGTAACACCTGTGACTCGTCACTGTAGTCCTTTGTGCTCTTCCCTCCCTTCTTTGAACTCCTCACACTCCCCCTGCTTTTCCCTTCATCCCCATGGATGCCTCAGATCTATGGTTAGCTTGTTAGTTTTGTCTTTTTCCTGATCCTTTGTTTGGTTTCTTATATTCCCCAAGTAAGTGAAGCCATACGATATTTATAGTTTTCCTTTTGATTTATTTTACTTAGCATAATCCCCCCAGGCCAAGCAATGCCTTCGATGCCAAATGCTAGGGATACTGTTGTCAACAAGAAAGAGAGGACTTCTAATTTCCCCAGACGTTTAGTTGCAAAAATAGAAACTCAGCTTAGATCCTACTGGAAACAAAACAAAGCAAAAAAAGTGTGAGGCCAGATCCCTAAAGTTAGTCTATCCCTGCCCTGCCTCTCCTTTGCTATAATGCTGCTGGTGAGTAATTGAATAATTATCTATACTAGCTCAACTATGACACCAACTGTGTTAGTAAAAGGAAGCCATGGAGTGATTCCAGCCAGGAGCTTGAAACTTGACTACCCTGTCTTTTTACATTAAGATTTTCTTCTTGGTATTAGCATGGCAAGCAGAAGCCAGGTGATTATATCATGGCTTTGAGTAAGAACTAATTATGAAATACCATATTTGTCGCTCATTTTAAATGCTCATATTTAAACTAGTTAATGTTTTCAGGGAACCAGAAGACTTTCTCCTGTAGTTGAGGAGTGTAGATGAGGGGTTACTATGGCTTAAACTCACTTGAAATGATGTCCTTGAGCAATGGTTCTCAAACATTTTGGTCTCTGGACCTTTACAGTCATAAAGATTTTCTGGGACCCCAAGGAATTTTGTTTGTATGGATAATATCTACTTCCGCTTATATTAAAAAATTTAAAACACTAATTTAAAAAAAGTCATTATATGGTAACAAATATCACTTTTATGAAAACACATGGTTATTTTCAAAATAAGTATTTAGTAAAAAGAAGGTCATTGTTTCACCTTTTTTGCCAATTTCGTCTCTTATTTTTACATGTTAAAAGGACAGGTTTATTAGGGAAAGGAAAGGAGAACAGGATGCTTGCATAGACACAAGTAGGCAGGGAAAGAAAAGCTGCTGTACATCTCTTTAATGTCTGGGTTAATTGAAAACTGCTGAATTCTACACACATCAATATTGATTATTGTTTTGGTTGAATTGTTTGGTTGATACATAGATGGAAAAGGGAAAGAGATTTTAATAGATTTGAAAAGTAATTATAAGTATTTCTCACAGATACTGCATCAAACTCAGTAAGTGGTAGTTTTTCTTAAAGATTGGCTGCAATGAAGAATCTGAAATTGTATCAATAATCATTTTGTGTTGTTAAAATACTAGCAGTTTGAAAGTCACTTCACCCATGTGAGATTTTGCCATTTGATTCATTGGTTATAAAATACTGTTTCACTGAGTTATGCAGATCTTCCCTTCATTGACTCATTATACCATATTTTTAAAGACATGTTGCTATCACTACCAATCTCATCAGAAAACTATTAGAAAGATGGCAGTTACAAATTTTTTTAACTCCTGATTTTCTCTTGAAAGCTGAAATATCACCATTGACTACAAATACTGTAGTGGCTTTCCTTGAAGTGACTGGCTTACCTCACTCATTTTGGTAGGTTGTGGGCCATCATTGGTCAGTTTGAAACTGTGCAAAGGTGGGGGGCAAAATGTCACTGGGTTCAGGATTCTCACCGATACACCTACAACTGCCATTGCAGGACATAACTCAGGCTCAAATCAACATTAACATGTATTTACAAAAGGGAGAGAGTGCTAGAGAATTGGATAGTGGTGTAGGCAGGGCTAAGTACAAATAGTCAGGCAGTATTTGAAGCAGAGATAAGACACAAAGGTATTTGAAGAGGTGGGCCACAGCAGTCAGCCACAGAAGTCAGCAACAGCAACCCAAAGTCCAGGCCAGGCAGCACTGACACCAGACCAGGCAGCGCAGGGGCTTGGTGTTATACGAGTCAGAGGTAGGGGGCAGTGTATGCTGGGAATAAAGCTGACAGCAAACAGCTTTTTGAGAGACAGGTAGCAAAGGGTCAGTGGTCTTATTCAGCAGGCAGATGTCACAGGCAGAGTTAGAGGCCAGCCCTGTGAAGAAACTGTGCCAGAGGACAGGGAACAGAGTTAAAGCTGTATGATGGAATTCCCAGGAGACAGTCTGGACCAGTATGCCCCCTCACTGCTTAAGCTGGTTGGCACCTAACTTACACTCTTCAGGCCCCATCCTGACCTATAATGAGGTTGGATTTCAAAACTGAACACCTGTAGCAGTGATGGGAGGTGGGGGTTGGGGGTGGGCAGATCCAACCTCTCAGCTCTTGGATTGGTGCTGGATCAAACTGGTCCATTTTCAATGCCGTGTTCAGTCAGCAAGTTCCATGCTAGTCCATTTTCATTCTCATCCTTGTTTCAAAACTGAACACCAGGAGCCCCTGTGGCCCTGGTGCGAGCTCAAATCTGATTAGTGCTCATAGGAACTCTGATCATATTGGTCCTTTCTAAATCCATTTTTAAAAAAGATTTGTTTATTTATTTATTTATTTATGCTTACTGGGGCACAGGCCAGAGGTATGGGGAGTGAATGGATTCACCAGAGACAGAGTGGGGAGCAGAACAGGCAGACTGACAAAGTACACTGCTGAGGGAGCAGCGGGCGGGTCAGAAGAGATCTGCCGTGCCATGTGGGTCAGCTCTCTGGTGAGGGATGGAACTCGTGTTGCACTGGCTTCAGAGCTTCATAATGCGGTGCTTTAACCCGTTGCACTACCAGGGAGAGCTAAATCCATTTTTAACCCCAGGCTTTTTTCATGGACTGCACAAGGACAAGGTGTTCTTTGAAGTCCATATAGTTCTTATGAAAACAGCTGTTCTCAAACAAGCACACAAGTACTTTTCCTGGAGACATACCTCTTTAGTACATCTAAGTGTTATATGTGTATATTGAATACGAAAAAGTTTGTACTCAAGGATTAAGATTTAATAAAATTATTTTATTACTTCATCAAAGGCATTCTTAAGTAAAACTTAATTTTGTTTTATTATTATTTTACTTTTATTTGCATCTTTACTGCAAGTGTGAAGAAGTGAAGAATACAACGACTTGTTAGTACAGTTTAGTATCACTACTTTGATTCATGGTAAAGCAACAGCAGTTTTAATCACCATTGATTTTGTACCATCAGTGCACATATCAATACAATGAGTGAGCAAGTATTGTTTTAGCATTGTTATGAAAATACCTCCCAAAAATATCATAAGGGGTCCTGTGGAGCATGCTTTATGAATTGTCACCGGGTTACTTCCCTCTGGCTTCCACTGCTTCTGCTGCTTGTATTGTGCACCACACAGGGTTGTCACCTGCTTTTTATGTCTTCTCTGTCACACTGGGAACCCTCTGAGGGGCTGTACCACTGCCCACCAGGTATATCAGGTTCTAGTCAGGACCCGGAACAAGCTAAATGATAGTATTGGATGAATTAAGAATTTCTGGCATATTTTCTTTTGATCTCCTATTTAGTGGTGAGAAGAGAAGGCTGAGGGCCTTGGTCACTAACAATAATCTCTTCCCTAGAATATTCCTTCTGACTAAGACAAGTCATATCACATGTTTATTACTTTTTTTTTTAAGTTTTAATTGCACAGGAAGTTCTTAATAAATGCCTAGTGAACACAGGCTGTTTCCTATAATGATTATGTCTTGCTCATATTTCCTTCTTAAGGCATATTCATGTGCATGTGTTTGTATAGGGTGGGAGATAGTTTAAGATCAAGCTCTAGGGTCTCTTTTCCCACAGGGGGCTCCTGGTGTTCAGTTTTGAAAAGAAAATTTTCAAAAGTTGAGCCTTGGCTCAGGAATACTCTTCCCAGAATGTGCAAGAGATTTCCCTTTGGGAATCTACTGACCACATCACAATATCATCCTACTTCTTTTGGCTGTAGACATCTCAGTGGGTGGAGAATTATGATTTTTACAGTGCTGAGTAAAAGATAAAAATTAGAAGAGAAACCCTACTTTGGCCAGTAATTGCAGGTCCTAAAATATTTTGTTTTATTTATGTATGTAAGCCCAACAGTTGCCTAATAGATTCATGGTAAGTTTGACAGCAAACAATGCTATAGTGTTTATATAGAGCTTAGAAACTTCACTAAGACTTCAATATTTCCTTTTAAGCACACAGAATTTTCTTTGTTGGTGGTTTTATATATATATATATATATATATATATATATATATGATTTATTTTTATTTATTTATGCATACAAGAACTAGGGGTGAGAAAATTCACCAGAGACAGAGTGGGGCACAAAACAGGTGGCTCTATTGAAATACACTGCTGAGGGGAGCATTGGGTGGGACAGGAGAGAGGAGAGTTCTGCTGTGCCATGTGGGTCAGCTCCCTGGGCGGGGATGGAACTCAGGCTATCAAGGTGATAGAGATGATAGTGTTGAGACTTAACCCTTAGGCCACCAGGGGGGCCTAAACAATGTGACATTTAAATAAATGGATAATTGAGACACATTGGCTTAAACAATGGAAGTGCAACAAAAAGAAATGAGAAGCAATAATGGTGGATGTGAAATTAAAATTGAACATAGGAGCCCTCACTGGCAGCCCAAGGGGTTAAAGCACAGTACCACAAAGCTAGCTACAGCCACTGCAACACGACTTCCATCTCTGGCCAGGGAGATGACCCATATGACATGGCAGACCTCTCCTGCTCTGCTCAGTGGTGTACCTCATCAGTCTGCCTGTTCTGCTCCCCACTCTGTCTCTGGTGACTCTTCTCACCTCCCTGCACCTCTGGCCTGTATGCCAGTTCTATATGTATAAGTAAATAAATATTTTAAAAAATAAAATTGAATATAAAGGCTGTCATAGTAGAAATAAATAGCTGATGTGGGATTGTTGATACTGCTATGTGTGTAGTCAGAGGAATTTAGGGAAAGAATGTGGTTGTGACAAAAGGATCAAGATTCATCATTGCTCTAGGTTTTTCATGGGCATATACGGCTTCATAAAGTCGTTTAGGAGATGATACAAGATAATAAATGAACAGCATTTATCATAATGCCTTGCTGTGCTATGCAAAGACTGTTATCAGTAAATAAGAAAAAGCAAATGAAACCAGTAGAAAAATGGACAGAAGTACCATAAAGGGCTGTTAATTAAGAAGAAATACAACTACTTACTATAGTAAACAATCAAACCAGTGTAAATTAAAATAACCATGTCATTTTCAGCACATCAAATTGTCAAAAAATTCTTTTAAGTGTTAATAACCAAGATTAGTGTTTAGAAAACAGACTCTAAGAAGAGTGAAAATGGATGTCATTCTAAATGGCAATTTGGCAGTTTGTGATTTTAGGAAGTTATTCTGGAGGAATAAACAGGTATGCAAAGATCTCTGCTTAAGTATGTTTATTTCATTGTAGAAAATTTGTAAATAGCGTCAGTGTACATCTATGTACACTGAATAAACTTTAAATGAATAAAGTTATGAAAGTTCCTTACAAGTGGTACATGCAAGCAGTAAACATAATTAAAGTGAGCATCTCCCCTTGTTCCAGTGACTATCATTTCCTGCTTGGGTTACTCCCTGCCTTCAGTCTCTCCCTCTCAATTCATTCTCTACACAGCTGCCAAAGGCAAATCTATCTTCATTCCCTTAACACCTTTAGGGTCGCTCAATTAAAAAATCCCAAACAGACCTCTCCAGCTGGAGTCTTCTCTTTCTCTCTCACCCTTCTCTTCTGGCCTCTGTGGCTTGTTACTCCCTCTTAGTCATTCTGTAACACCACCCTTCACTTCTTTAGAACACTTAAAAATATGCCATTAAACGCTGTTTATGAGATTGTTTAATAGATGTCTCCCATTAGAGTTTAAATCCACTCAGTCTCTGTCTAGCCACTGTTTTATCCATTGTACCTACTATGGTGTCTGACATAGATGATTGAGACATATTGAATAAATGATTGATTAAATGAATGATTAAATGAAAGCAAGCAAGGTGCGAAACATACAACGTGAGCCTAATTTAGCAAAAGAGACTAAAGATCATGTAGCCAGTACAGAAGCAGGGTCCCTCTTGCAGGTACGTGCTGTCTAGGTTCTTCTCTCAAAAGAGGGGGAAGGAAGTTGCATCTAGAATGGCAGGACAAGAGATTTCTGGGAAGAACGGAGCTGGGTAGGAGTGGCGTCTGCCGCTTCAGTTCCTTGGGCCAGATGGGCTGCTGCCCAGGTGAGACGGCTTCCACGGACCACCCACGGCGGCGAAGGCAGGCAGCCGCCAGAGAGGTTTAGCTGCGGAGTTTAACTCAGGACAAAAGGCTCCGGTACGCAGTCAGGAGGCGCACAGCGCCACCTGGTGGAAAGCCAGGGGAGCGTCAGTGCGCGCCCTAGCGAAGGGCTAGGAAAGGGATGGGACAGAAAACTTCACGGTGTTTTACAGGTGAATTGGAACCGTGCTTAGGGGTGACTGCCCACCTCGGGGGACTGCATTCACAAGAGGTCTCATGGAGGTGGGATTTTAAAGATTGCACCTTAGCTGTGTGACAGTTCGGAGGCAGCGTGGGAGTTGCGTGTTGGCAAGGCTGCTGCCCCCTCATGTCAAAACCCTGACCTGGCTTGTTCATCAGTCATTTCAAGGATATTTTCCTCTAGGATGTGAAGTTCTTGCACCTATTTGGTTCCAAAAGGTGGACTCCCATTCTCCAAATCACCACACCTCTCCCAGAATTCTGTAGCAGGTAAGCTTTCTCCCTGCTCTTCTGTGTTTTGGGGTCCTTATTTGTCACTGAGAAGCCACTCTCACTTGACCCATATCTACTTGACTCCCAGCAGGAACCTGAAGTCCTGGAAGTAACAGAAGGAGCTGAAAGACTCTTCCAGGACAGAGCGAGCCCAATAAACACGTTCTAATGGATAAATTCTTCCATTTATTCAATTTTCCCATATGCAAGACCATTTTTGATGGAGTGTCATAGAGGCCGTTAAAGGAAGGAGGACTGGGGCAGGGATGTGCTTAAGGCAAGTTTAATCCTAGACTTTATTTTAGAGTTGGATAAAGGGGAGCAATTTAAGATTTCAGGTAGTTAGCCTTAAACTGTGCAAAATCCTGGAGTGAAATGGTAGATGGGGAGTCAGTATGGGTTGGTGGTAGTGGTAAGATTTAATGTTGAGTAGTTGTAGGCTCTAAGCCTGGGAGAGTTGTGGCACTTTGTCATTTGAGACTGGGTTGGCAAAAGAAGGCCAGAGCTCGCACCTTGCATTGGAGGGAGAGGAGGAAAACATCATCTGTGAGGAAGGGGTTCTCAGCTCTTGCATCACCCTGGGGGTAGGTGACTCCTGTTCATCTCTGGTTCCTTCTTTGTGGAGGAGTCTCCACTACCCTCCAAAGTTTTTGGCATTGAGTTCAGGTGGAAGGCAAAGTAAAACAAGCAGAAAAAAAGAGGAGCTGGAAAAAAACTGAAGCCAAGTCTATGGTCTGGGGAGCTAGGAGGCCCCCTTCAAGTTGGCTCAGGACTGGCAGCTAGTGCTGGACTTGTGGAAAATGCTCTCTCAGAGGTCAAATAACTCAGAAAGCAAGCTCCAGCACTAGAAGCACTGTGAGTGCAGGCAGGGCTGGGCCTGGGTAGTCACCGCCCCTAATCCAAATACACACGGGGGCAGCGCACACTGGCTTTCTCTGATCAGGGAAGCTCAGGTTGGAAGTGCAGAACCCAGCTGGTCCAGGGAGCAGTCCTTCTGGCCTGTGGCTGCCCGTAGCACCACCTCACTCCTCCCAAGGGCTCATGTCGGTGTCAATGGCCACGCAGTTGTATGCTGCATAGCGGAGCTTTTCCTCACACACCTTGGCACTGCAGGGGGATGGAGACTGGGTCAGTGCTCAGCGCAGGCACCTGCATCCCTAACTAGGGCAATGCGGGTCCCAAAGTCCTCCTCACCTGGGATGCCACTCCCCACGCTCTAGGCTCGAGTCTAGGAAGCCTACCTGGCATAGTGTGGTAGAAAGAGGGTACTGGAGCAGGTGGACGACTCAGGCAGCGCATCTGTGGTCTCACAGCTGGGGGTGCGGGAGCCAGAGTTCAGGGCCAGGGTCTGACATGTAGAAGGAGGGGACAGAAGGCCATCCACCGCCCCTGGGGACCGTCCCTCCCCACTCACCCCAGTTTATCAGGGTAGATGTAGATCCGTGCTGGTAGGCGACTGCGGCCTGTGACAAAGCGCAGGAAGCGGCTCCGGTCCTCTGGATGGAGAAGGAAATCAGTGCTGCGCTGAGGGTGGGGAGTGTCCACAATGTCCACCCTGCCTCCGTATCCCACCAGTGGAGTCGGAACCCGGGCGTCACTCTGCTCTTTTCCACTGACCGTTGGTGAAGTTGCTTAGTGCCTCCCAGAAATACCGCACCCGTATATCAGTTTGCTCGAAGTCCTCAAACCGGGCTAGCAGAGAAGAGGCCAGAAATCATTCCCAGATCCACCTAGGAGGCCTGGCCACCACACTGCTCTGCCCTGCCCCACACTCACTGAGCTTGCGCAGAGCGTCCACCGTGACCTCTGGGTCGCCGCACACCTTCTTCTCCAGTTCCTGCCAGGTCAGCAAATCCAGCACAGCCTGTGGCACCACCTTCAGCAAGCCCACCTGCATGGCCGCCACCTGGGGAGGGGAGGACAGGCCTGGCTGGGAAAGAGGGCATAACTCCCTGCTCAGAGATTAGTGGAGAACATGGCATTTGCTCATCCCTGGGGCATCTCTGTGCCCCACTGATGAGCTGGAATAGGGGGGGGGCAAAGAAATAGTAAGACCTTGGGTACTGGTGGTCTCTCAGCCTGGGCTCTGTACACTAGGTGTCCAAAGCTTTTGTTCTTCTGGCTCTGGATAGTACCTGCTCCTTGCTCTCTTCTAGCCGTGCCTTCTGTACGAGTTGGATGAAACGCAAACGGTCCTCATATCCCACCACGATGCCTGCGCCCCCAGGGATAAGCTCCACCATCTGCTGGTCACTCAGTACAGTGGTGAATGTCAACTCCTTCCCAAATTTGAACTCAAATGTCTCCTTGTCCATGCCTTCCATCACTTCTAGGAGCTTCACCTAGGGAATGGAGACAAGGAGAGGGTCAGCTTTTCACTGTGGAATCCTTGTTTTCCTTCAGATAATGATAGGGAAGAAGGAAAGACACCAGGCAAAGCAGTTCTTATGCAGGCAATGAGGACAGAGAGGGTCAGCGTAAGGGCTGTGAAATATCTAGTCAGCCCTGAAGGCCAGGGAAGGCATCTTAGAAGAACTAGCATCTCAGCTGGGACCTGAAAGATGGCTGGGAGTTGGATTGGGCAAGTGAAGTCATAGAGAAAAGATACTGGAGTCAAGTGGAAAGTAAAAGGCCTGAGGAATCTGGCTGCAGCCTGAAGGTGAACCAAGTGGCCAGAAATATAGGGGTCATGCAAGGCCTTCTGCATTCTGCATTTTATCCCAAGTCCAAGGTAAAGCCATTGGAGGGTTTAAATGAGAAGAGTGTAATAATTATTCTAGTTGCAGGAGATCAGGTGGTTAAGAATAGAAATAGGGGCATTAACGTTCACAGTCAGTGGCTGAGTCAGAAAGGAATGTGGAGAAGAGGAGAAGTGAGCAGACTCTAAAGAGACTTGACAAAATGTGGGAGGTGAGGGAGGGATCCCTGAGGGCACTGGCATGGGTGGATGGGTGGCATGACATGCCACCATGAAGACTGCGGAGGACCACACACTGTGGCGCAGATGAAGTGTGTGCTGAGCAGAGGCGCCATCTCGGCAGAAGCCCTGTCAGCTGACGCGTACATGGCGGGAAAGGGAGGCTGGGGCTCGAGGTAAGGACTCGGGGTCAGCAGTGGAAACCAAGGGAGTAGGTGAGTCTTGGGGAACAGCGACCTTCGGGGGCTGTGCAGGGGACACACTGGCTCCAGGCCCTACTCACCAGCACAGAGTCCACAGCCGGGAAGTCCTTGCTCCAGCTCACCTCCTCACCAGAGAGCTGCTTCCACACAAAGCCGGGCAGAGCCAAGACCTGCAGGACAAGAGCTCACTGCTGTCTCCTCACCCTGAGCTCCCAGCTTTGGCTGGCCCTCTTCCTTCCAGGGGCCAGGGCTGACCTGGTAGGAGTGCAGATTAGGCTACTCACCAGGAACTCCTTACCCCGAAGGGCAGCACCCATCAGTTGTCCAATCCACTCGTACTTAGCAAAGTCCCGGCAGGATGGGTTGGGGACATACATGTCCCGGGCCTCACCAGTGCCATTGCCCTGTCCCAAGACAGCGGTCAGCGTGGCATGGGATGGACTCTACTGTGCTGCCCCAAGTTCCCTAAATACTTCCCTCGGGTCCTGCCTGGTGGCCTAGGGGTTAAGTCTCAGCACCATCACTGCTATGGCCCGAGTCAGACCCCTGGCCAGGGAGCTGACCACACGTGGCACAGCAGACCTCTCCTGTCTCACCCACTGCTCCCCTCAGCAGTGCATTTCAGGCAATCCCACCTGCTGTTCCCCATCCTGCCTCTGATGAATCCCTCACCCCCTCCCCATACCTCTGGTCTACACCCCAGCTCCCCTACACACAAATCAATCAATCAATCTTTAACAAAAAAGACTTCTCTGAACACTTTCCACTGAGCGCCCTGAATGATCTGATTGTACAATGGCTCCTCCTTCCCTGTCTGCCAGAGGCTGCCTCAGGCTACTGGGTCCTTTCTCAGCGCTTCCTCTCTAGCTCAGCCTTGGTATCTGGAGGTTTGTAGAAACAGAACAGCAAAACATCGTGGGAAGTGGGGTGGGCAATTACCTGGTTTGCTGTGCGCACGAAGAAAGGGAGAGGCACAGGCGAGTCCGCTGAGCTAGGGCACAGCTCCTCTGACATGTCTGCCAGGCTATCCCGGAAACCGCCCCCTGAAATGCCAGACACGTGCCCTTAGCTGGGGTATTCAAGAGTCCTCATTACAGTGGAGTCATAAGGAGGTCTCCTGCCTTGGTTAGCTGGTGACCCCACAGGGCTCTATCACTCGGAACTGGGCAGGACCCTTGTCATCCTCACTGTGAGCCTTACCTTGGTCAATGATTCCTTCTGCAATGAATTTACACTCCCACCACTGATCATAGCGCATGGGCCACCTGTAGGTAGGGATGCATCTCTGTCATGTTGTTGGACCGGCACTTAGGACAATTCAACAGCCCAGTGACCAGCCAGAAACAGGAGTGACAGAAGGGTAATGGTAAAGGGTGTCAGAGGCAGTGTGGATTTGTGTGCACGTGTGCTCTGGGCAAGTCTCTGACCCTCATGCCATACCTGTAATCCAGGGGCTTTTCATACTTGTCAGAGGGCTTGAGACCTTCATAAACCTGGGGGCAGGGAACAGGGGATGGACAGGGGAACGTCTGTGTCAAGGCCTGACCCCACTATTGCCAAAGACCTTGCGAGGCTTCCTCTGGTGAAGTCCCCGCTGCCTTTACTAAACCTCCCTCAGTCCGTGTGCAGGTGGTCCAGACCTGGGTGAAGATTGCATTCTTGCAGGCAGGGTCCTTTAAGGGGCAAGCTCTGTGTTCCATGGCAAGGCGCCGGTTGATGTACAGGCGTGGCATAAGGCTGGGCTTGCTGCTCTCTGAGTCACGCAAGCACTGCGTCACCAGGCCTGGTCGCTGACGTGACAGCAGCAGGAACTGCTTCACTTGCTGGTGGGGAGAGGTGGTTAGCAGAACCAGAAGGCAGTTGGCCTCTTTCCAGACCTGGGAACATTCCTCTACGAATGCACCTAGTCCTACTGTTTCTGTGCAACTCAGTCTGTCCCCCTCCTTGCTTCTACTTCCTCCTTTCATCCAGCCATTGGGGAAGCTTTCTAAAATAAAAAAAAAAATCTTAAAATCTTTTAATGGCTCCACGTGACTTGGGACAAAGTCTGTCCTGGCTCATAGCGCCCTCTGCTTCCAGGCAGCTTCCTGTCCATTCAAACGCCATAAACAAATCTATCTGCTTCTTTCAAGTTATTTTTAGCTACCACTAAGGCCTTCATGCGCATTTTATGCAACTTGCTCTGTCCATGCTATCAGCTCTCCTCCCTCATTTCTATTTATTTTACACCCCATTTGGAGAACAGTTCTATAAACACTAAATTTTGGCTATTTGTTTCTGTGCTCCCTGACCCATCAAAGGCCCAATTTTTAAGAACACTCTGCTGAAGAGTGAACAACTTCAAGAGAAGAAAGGGGGAGCCCCTTGTAGACCAGCACTGGGGTGCCAGACTCACCTTAATCTCATTGAAGGTGCCCAGTGTGTGGTCCCAAGCAGGTACCAGGTGGTGCAGGACACTGTCTAGAATCTTTATGAATCTGTGGGTGGGGATAGCGGATAGTTCGGGGTAAAGATGCTTATATTAAGAGTATGACATAGATAAAAGACCCTCTTGCTACCCAACACACAGGGACAGAAGGCAAGGTCCAGGGGCTGCTCTGACCCTTGGAACAGAGCAGCTTGCAGTCCACAATCGTGGGGACCTCTACCACACAAAGACATACAAGGCTCAGGATGGGGAGAAGGGAAAGGGCTGGCGGACCCAGGAGCACAGCCACCTCTGCAGGAGAACAGCTCTGCGGTACAGTACTTCTGGGTCAGTGCCTTCCAGGCGTGGGTAGCGCACCAGGCTGGTGGGCTGAAACAGGTCTGCATTCAATCCCAGTTCCCGCTGTCTAGATGACTTGATTTTGACGCCTCGAAGACGCACATCAATGCCGTCATCTGGGGGAAGGAATCAGTCAGGTCACTAACTGCATCTGTAGCTTCCACGGCCCTTACACTTGAGCATGGGGGCACTGCAATCCTCTTGCGCTCACCTAACTGTGAAGATTATTTGCCTTGCCGGTTCCCCTGTCCACTATAATTTTGGGATGCCTGAGGGCTGCAGACCTCTTCCAGGTGAGCCTGACCACCTCTATGGCTTTAAGGCAGGCCTCTTCTAGGCACCTTCTAGAAGGCTCAGGTTCCAAAGCTTCAAATCTTAGAGCAAGTGCCTCTGCCTTGTCTCCAAGCCCATCACACACTCACTGCACCACACTCACTGCCAGCTAGCGCCTATATACTCTGGGGCTCCCTTTCCCTCCTTACAGCCTTGAGCCCCACCTCGGCACTCCACGATGCGGATCTCGATGACTGGCAGGTGGACCGTCATGTCCTCTAGGACACAGACATCCCCGATCAGCGTCCTGAGGAGATGGATGTGAGGCACTTTGGATCCCTTGACTTCAGGGACTGCTGGGCTCTCACCCAACCTGTGCTTCCAAGCTGGGCCAGGCCCCATTGCTACGATCATGCCCCACCTCCCACCTCAGGTCAGCTTGCTCACTCGTCAATGCTCACGTCACTCAGCTTCTTCAGATTGTCTCCTTCACCCCCATAGACCACCACTCGCTTAGGCATGAAGTTGTCATCTGTGGTATCCACGGTGAGTAGTAGTTTCCTGGGGGAGTGGGAGCATGTACCTGGCTCTCTGTGCAACCACAGGTACACGGTTCACCCACCCTGCCCCACTCAAGTCCACTCACTTGACAATGGTGCCCTTCTTCATGGTAAGCCGTACCCAGTGCTGGCACTGGGATCCATCGCTCTCCCAATAGGTGTCTGCATTGCTGTCTGTCAAGCAGGATACATTGAATTCCTCCTGGGGAGGGGCAGGGAGGTGGAGTCAGCATTTACCCCACTGCTCGCACTGGGCTGTGCAATGAGTCAGGGAGCACGAGAGAGAAAGCGGAGCAGGAGAGAGAAAACGCGTTAGTTAAGCTGATTAAAAGGGCAGCTGTTATGAAGGGAGGTGTCAAGGGGATCCCGGAGGACATCCAAGGAGCTGGACTGCGCCTGGCCTGTAGGGATTCAGGTTTGATCCTGGCCCAGGGGTAAGGGTTCTGGATCCAGCCTTGAGGACGGTGACAACAATTTAGTCGGAGTCCCAGCACCTACCGTATAGGAGGAAACATCTATGCTCTCCACATACTGCTTCACACTACCCAGGTTCTCATCCTCCTTGCCCAGGTGGTCGTACAAGAAGTGGATCAGGTCTTCGTCGCACTCGTAGGTCCACGTCGGGGGCACATAGCTAAACAACGCCAGATTCCTAATTAGGTGGAGCCCAGAGCTGAGGGTCCTTTCTCCTCATTCCATTCCAGCTTACTCACAGTAGCCTTTGTACAGCTTCCGTGTACGCTGCCGCTGGCTGAGGCCTCGATCCCAGGCGGTGCGAGTATGTCAGGTCCACCACCTGTTCCCATCTGCGGGCACAGAGTGGGTGGTGGTGTGGGGTGGACGGGAACCACCGGTGGGCATCCTCTACATGCCCCGAGCCTCCTCCAGGGGTCCAGCTCCTCCAAAGTACGCCCTCAGATGCCACACCCAGGCTGTCTTTGAGTCCGGACCCTTTCCTTACCCTGCCTCTACGCCAGTATCACATTTCCCTGGGACCAGTTTCCTACCCCTCGGGCCCACCCGACAGTAGGTTCCCGCCCTTCAAGTGCAGGACCTGAGCACCCTGCGATAGTCCACACCGAAGAGTTGCTGCTGCCGCTGGAGGTGGTCCGGGGTGTCGATGGGTACCAGGCGCGCCCCGCCCTCCGCCGGGCGGCACACCAGCAGCCAGCCTTCTTCCAGTCCGCAGTCGCCCAGGTGTTCGGCCAGCTGCTCCTGCCGGGTAGCGTGAGCCCCGGTCAGCCGTCAGGAAACAGCCCAGGGCCCGCCCAGCCCAGCCCAAGGCAAAGGGCACCGAACGCTCTGCCAGCTTAGTGTGGGGGAGGGGAGGTGAACAGCTGGGGCTTCCCTGGCCGGGGAGTCTTTTGGGGAGCTCCCGGCAGGCTAAGCTCACCTTGGTCAGTTTCACCCAGAGTCCGTGTCCGTTGCACAGTTCCTCGCCCGTGGTGCGCACGCAGGCGCCGCGCCGGAGCTCAATGCTGTCGCGGGCCGCGCGGAGGGGCCCGGAGCCGGTACCCGTGGCCGACCCGGTGGCACCCACACGCAGCCCCAGACCCTCCGCTTCCCACACCGGGAGCAGTACGCGCGACGGTCCTGCCGGGTCCTTGTAAAGCTTGTAGAGCACTTCGCGCGGGACGAAAGCCAGCGCCGCAGGCAGCGGCCTCCCAGTGCGGAGACTCTGCGCTGCCTCCACCAGGAAGCGCACGCGGCCCAGCAGCAGCCGTGGGGACTCTAGCGCCGCACCCCGGCCCGGGCCAGCCATGGCGAAGCGGGAGAGGGCTGCTCCGGGGCGATCGGGTTTCTGGAGCTGCAGCCGCGAGCACTGACCAAGCTTCCCACCACTCTTTGGCCCCGCCTTCTGCCAGCTTTGGCCGTATGTTCTAGACTAAGAGCACCCCGACGCCAGCCGTATTGCCCTGTGTATGCGGGTAGTCAACTTTTCACCTACCTACGTGCTCCCGGTCCAGCCAATCAGACCGAAACATAGGATCAGCGCTACCTCTCTCCATTTCCATCGCTACCACCATTTTATCCCCAGTGCTCCTACTCTCATTCAAATAATAGATCGGTCTATCCTGGATCATTTTTCTGGTTCTATCTCTGCTCCCCTAGGAAGTCATATTACAACCAGAGTAGTATTTTGAAAATCTGCTAGGTGGCGCAACCACGTTGAGCGCAGCACTATGAAGTTGGCCTCAGCTGCTTCAGTGAGTTTGATCCCTGGCCCGGGAAGGAAGTGACCCACATGACTCAGCAGACCTCTCCTGACCCGCCCGCTGCTCCCCTCAGCAGTGGACTTGTCAGTCAGCCTGTTCTGCTCCCCACCCTGTCTCTGGCGAATCCTCTCACCGCCCCCGCACCTCTGGCTTTTACCCAGTTCTGTATGCGTAAATAAACAAATCTTCTAAAAAAAATCTGCTAGACATCCTTTCTGTATCCTCATCCTGTTGGCTGTGTGTCCAAAATGTTTGGGAAATATCTCTTCTTGCCCTGCCACTGACGGGAGTTTTGAGTCATGTCAGCTTGATCCTCACTATCACGATGAATCAGGATGCTACTGATCCTTTCCCCCTTCTCCCTGTAATCTTGAAGGAGACTGTGGGAAGGGGGGCGGGGGGCGGGGAGGGAGGAAAGACAGAAAATAAAAAGGACTGGAGCTGTTGGAGTACAATCAAAGAGGGAAAGGAATCCCTGTTCTCTGCCCTCCATTAAAAATAGAAGTTTTATTGAGATATAAGTAATATACCATATAATCCACCCATTTGAAGTACACGTTTCAGTTTTTTGCTATATTACATTTTTTAAATCGTGGTAAGATACATGTAACAAAATCTCCCATTTTAGTAACTTTAAGGGTACAATTACTCCAAAAGCTTTTAGTCACCCCAAACTGTATCCATTAAGCAATAACTTGCCCCCTTTTCTCAGCCTCTGGTAAACTCTAATTTACTTTCTGTGTCTATGAATTTACCTATTCTGGATAGTTCATTAAGGGGAAAAACAAAATATTTGTCCTTTTGTGTCTGTCATGCAGGATAACGTTAGAAAACTGTTATATCAATAGTATGTAACAGAATTTAATTTCTTTTTATAGCTGAATATGTCATTGTATGTACACTACCTTCTGGTGATCCATTGGTTTGTTCATGGACACTTGGGTGGAAACTGTTTTCAAATGGATATCAAGAAAGAAGTAATAAATGATCCTATGCAATTTTGACAGTTTTCCACTTTTTTCTGTGTAGGGAGTTGGGAATTTCTTCCTTTCTTTCCTTCATAGCCACTAATACCAGATAAATGAACAAGCACCTCACAGGCATGCATGACCTGGAATCTGTAGACATGTCCAGCTTCATTAATCCCACCACTTGATCTTCGGGTTCCATAACAGCCATGTGCTCTAATGTGTCTTCTCTTGGCACAGGCTGTTCTCTCTGCTTGGAAGGTCCCGCCTTCAATTAAGTGAGGCGTCTTTGTTCTTGCTTCTAGCTTTTTCCTCTTAAAACATTTACTATAATAATTGCTGATTCTCTGTTTCCTCTTCAGGCTGTCGGGGTTGTCTTCCTTATAAATGTAAAACTCTGCAGGTAGTGTAATGCCTGGCTCTTAGTAATATAAATATTTACTGATTTTGGTGCCCTGAACAGCTTGGTGTCCTAATTCACTGTATGCCTGGCTGACCCAGGCATAACATTGTTAGCAGTAAAAGCAAGACTTGGGTCAAACCTTCGGGATACCCAGGCATTATTAAGAGCAAAGCAAATTCCTGAAGCTAAGGTAAGGTGTAGTTACAGAGTAAATCATTCTGGCAGCCTTTGTTGCTGCGTAGCTACAGCTGACTTTACGGTGAAGAGGGGTAGGAGGGTCCTACCGGCAGCACCCTGGGCAGCCCCGGAGCTGTCAGTGAGTCTGATCATGTGACTTTCAACGTGACGACCGCTTTGGCTCACTACAGGAAGGGGCGGAGCCTGGGCTGCGGCAGGCTCAGATTCCGGTTAAGTAGTGGCTGTATTCGTAGTTACAAAACAGCTTACCATGGAGGCGAACGGGTCGGGGTGAGTTCTCTCCGGTGTAGCCAGCGCGGCTTATGACTCGAGGCTTTCAACTCCGAAAGCTGCTCCCACATCTCCTTTCCCCCACTCTGTAGCGTTCCCAACCCGAATCCCAGTCCCTGGAAGCGGCACTCCTCCAACCTTGGGTTCCTGAGACCTTCATCCCAAGGACCGCCTGGCTAGATTGCACCCCACTCCCCCCACGTTCATTTAGGAGACGCCGCCGGGACTTTATAATCCTCAGCTAGGATCCTTATTTCTGGGCTGTCAACTCTGATTCCTCCTTGTCTACTCCCTTTCTCTTCCACTCTCCCTGTCTGGGTTATTTCCAAGCTCTGGAGCAACGGATACTGCCTACTGGTTCCCGAGAAAGGTCCTAGGATCCTCAAAGTAATCTTGCTGGCTTTCATGACCCGCCTCCCCCACCTTTGACTTGGGGGTCTCTAGGGCTGTGTGTAGGTTAGAGGCCCCAGAGCGGCCCATCTGGTCTGCCTGATAGGCAAAGAGGTGCCGAAATGGGTGGGGAGCCACAGCTTGGGAACTGGCCTGGGGAAGGCAGATAGCGGTGCAGGTCTGAGTCTTCCTTAACTCGTGCCTTCCCCAGCCTCCTGCCTAGCTTACTGATACCTACTCCCTAACTCCCACCTCTCTCCAGACCTCGGAGTTTTCCAGAGCTGAAGAATGACACATTCCTTCGTGCAGCCTGGGGAGAGGACACAGACTACACTCCTGTTTGGTGTATGCGGCAGGCAGGTCGCTACTTACCAGGTCAGGGTTTGGGCCTAGGATTGTAGGTAAAATTCTGGAGGGTGAAGTTTTCAGATGGGAGGTCTCCAGCATTCCTTAAGGCTGAGCCCTGCCTTCTTTCTTCTGTCTACAGAGTTTAGGGAAACTCGGGCTGCTCAGGACTTTTTCAGTACCTGTCGCTCCCCAGAGGCCTGCTGTGAACTGACTCTGCAGGTGAGGGGTCCACAAAAGAGGTAGGGATTTATGTTCTCAGCTTGCCACCTAACAATTTGTCCTCTCTCCCCAACAGCCACTGCGACGTTTCCCTTTAGATGCTGCCATAATCTTCTCTGACATCCTTGTTGTACCCCAGGTACCTGCTCAGACCTAATTCTAGAATGGGTAAAAAGGGGAAAAGATAAGTACTCACTAGACAGAGGGAAACTTGGGCTGGAAGAAATGTAGTTTTATTCCCCTTTCCATCCTACCATGGGATAAATAGAACCTTTATTATTGGAGTTGTGAACCCTGGTATTTCTACCCCCCCCCATTCTAGGCACTGGGCATGGAGGTGACCATGGTGCCTGGCAAAGGTCCCAGCTTTCCAGAGCCCTTAAGAGAAGAGCGGGACTTAGAGCGCCTTCGGGATCCGGCAACAGTGGTTTCAGAGCTGGACTATGTGTTCCAGGCCATCACCCTCACTCGAGAACGGCTGGCTGGACGTGTGCCACTGATTGGCTTTGCTGGTGCCCCAGTAATAAGGGCTAAGACAGGGGTTTGGGCATGGGTAATCACTCTGACAGGTCTGGTGTGGACATGTAGCAGTCTGGCTTCTATACCTGTGACATCTTTGTATCCCTTCAACAGTGGACTCTGATGACATACATGATTGAGGGTGGCAGCTCAAGCACCATGGCTCAGGCCAAGCGCTGGCTTTACCAGAGACCCCAGGCCAGTCACCAGCTGCTTCGTATCCTCACTGATGCTCTTGTACCATATCTAGTAGGACAAGTGGCTGCTGGTGCCCAGGTCAGTTCTGAGGGAGAGACAAGTGGCTGGGGTTTAGTCTAAGGAGACCGGAAGTAACAGAGTTCCATACTTCCATACATTTGTGAGGGTAGTTCAGGTCCCTTCTGTGAAATATTCTGCTATGAACTAACTGTGAATCCACCTGCAGAAGGGTGACCTTCAGTGATTTGACAGGAGCCCACCCTAGTATTGGCAGGAGGTGCTGACTGCTCCATGTATTTAAAGACGAAAGCTAGCACTGGGATCTGGAAACTTTTTTTTTTTTAAACTAGAACTGGGTTTATAGGCATTGGCAGTATCAGTAGTTTTGAAGTCACTTGAGGGAAAACGGAGGCACATTCTATGTCTAGAGCCTGAGAGCCTTCCTTTTCATGTGTTATATATATTTTTTTCTTCACTACCTCTTGACTACAGGCATTGCAGCTCTTTGAATCCCATGCAGGGCATCTTGGCCCGCAGCTCTTTAACAAGTTTGCACTTCCCTACATCCGTGATGTGGCCAAACGAGTGAAGGCCAATCTGCAGAAGGCAGGCCTGGCACCAGTGCCCATGGTAAGGCTGAGGATCGGTGAGTGAAGGTGGGCCTCTGGAGCTTTCAAGAGTAAACCTGCATGGACTGAAGTAACCACTGGAGGGCAGCAGTGGTACAATAAAGGTTATAGGTATCGCAGGGCCCTCCTGGAGCCTCAGAAACCTGCCCTTTCTCCCAGATCATCTTTGCTAAGGATGGACATTTTGCCCTGGAAGAGCTGGCTCAAGCTGGCTATGAGGTGGTTGGGCTCGACTGGACAGTGGCCCCAGGGAAAGTGCGGTGAGTCATGGAGGGGTGGGCACTGGAAGTTGAGGTGGAAGGGCCATACATGCAGTCATCAGAACACGGCAATAACTCCTTCCAGGGAGCGTGTAGGGAAGACGGTGACCTTGCAAGGCAACCTGGACCCCTGTGCCCTGTATGCTTCAGAGGTAACCACCACAGTCCCTGTGTATGTTTGTGAGTTTGTCCCTGTGTACTATGAAGGCTGTGGAAGTGGTTGTGTATTACTATGTGTGTGTTTTTATTGTCTCTCCCTCCCCTCTACTTTATACACCCTATATGAGTTCTATAAAGGCAGGGTCTTCTTTTTATTATTTAACATTGTGTTTTCTCAGTGCCTGGCTCATACTAGTTATTCAATAAATTTTGTTCAACGACTGAATGAGTGATGCTGAGTTGACGCATGCCTCCATGCTTGTGTGTCACTACTGTGTATAGGGAGGACAGAGGCTTGTTGGCTTTCCTGTAGCCAGTGCCCTTTGGTCCCCCAGGAGGAGATTGGGCGGCTGGTGCAGCAGATGCTGGATGACTTTGGGCCACAGCGCTACATTGCCAACCTGGGCCATGGCCTTTATCCTGACATGGACCCAGAACACGTGGGGGCCTTTGTGGATGCAGTGCACAAACACTCACGTCTGCTTCGACAGAACTGAGCGCCTTTCCCCTCAAATTCCACAACACAGACAACTGATTGTTTCTAGGAGAATAAAAATTCTAGCGCTGGCATCTAGAGCTTGTGGTTTTGTTTGTGAAAGATCTGTGTCCTTACTGTAAGTCCTTTTTTAGCCTCTGCTCCTTTTTGCATCTTACCCTACAAGTCATGGGAGCACAGATGTTGGTGAATAGGTACTGTAGGGCAATTTTGTGTCAGATCTTCAACCTCCAGAGCTATATGGGAATGGATAGAGCCTTCTAGCAGTTGGAGCTATGGCATCTGCAGAGAAATGATGTTCCCATAGTATACAAAGCTGAATTGACAGGGCTTTGTGTCAGGGGATGGTGAGAGAAGTTTAGCAATGTCTTCAAAGAGCCTGTTGAGAAGGATGGAGTCTAGATGAGCAGGGAGAAGCTGAGGCCTTCCGCTTGCACTCCAAAAGGTAGAGAGGATATAAAGACTCAGCTAAGTTGCTTGGGATTCAAATCTTATTTTATCACCAAGATGAGAAGGCCTCTGAAGTCAAAATGCTCTGTGACACTCAGAGTTGCTTTGCATTCTTTTCTGAGTAGATACCTAGTTTTCCCAGAATCTTAGAATCTTGGTATGTTGCTATCATGATGTTATCTATTTCCTAGGAAAAGGTTCTGAGTTGCTGTGAGCTCTACAGAGGGGCATGGTGAGGCAGAAAATTTCTCATTTAGCATTTACTTAGACCACTAGGAACCACTATGTTATAGGCTGAACCAATATCCATCCCAGCTAGGGCAATGCAGGAGAGCAGGGGCCCATTTATTGAGAGGACACAATTTCTGCTTTTAGAAAAATGATCTTTTCTGTGATCCATGATTTATTCATAGAAAAGCACTGTGAGTTCACATACCTGCTAAAAAGTGGCAATTGTGATAAAGAAATGGGAGTGGCTTCTTCTTTTTTTAAACCAAACTATTGGGCTGAGATATTGTAGGGGCCCAGATGTTGTAGGGGCTGGACAGTAAGATTTCAGTAGCCACAAACAGCAAATACAACTTTGTGGTTAGTGTAGAGGAAAACAAAGTGACCGTTTGTCAAAGAAAGAAAAATAAAGCATACAGAGAAGTCCTTAGTTCATACTCTAGCTATACCACCCCTGCCCTATCACACTTCACCCCCTACTTGGGAACTAAAACATGGAACAGTAAAACACCAAGACACTGGCATCCAAATGACTCTTCTGAATGCACTTGCTACCTTCTATAACAATTCCAGGTAGAGCATGATGGGTCAGGAAGGTAGCAGGAACATGATATACTGAAGGTCAGCCAGGACTAAGATTGGTTGCTACCAGGGCTAGAAACTAGTAGAAAGGGGAAGGCCAAATGCATTCCAGCCCCAGCCTCCAAACCAGTGACCAAGGGGGCTGTAACAAAAGCAGGCAGAGGAAGCTTGAGGTAGAAAGGCAGGGGAAGAAAGCAAGTACAGGAAGAGAACCATGGAGCTGGAGTAGTCACTCTTAGGGTAGAGGAGACCAGTGTGGAGAAGTCTTTTTGGTGAGGATGGTGATTAAAGGAGGCACAGATATACGAAACATACCAGAAACATACTTAGCTGGCGAGCGACTAGGGAATGGGGAAAGGAGATCTAGTGTAAGTGAGAAGGTACACATTCATGCAGATCCTCGTATGAATCCACAGACATGCCTACATGTTGAAATGCACACAGTTCAAAAAACCTATCAGTGGAGAGCAGGCATAAACACAAAATGCATGTTTATATACGTGCACCTGTGTGTGCCCAGATACACTCTAAGCAGTCTTTGATGAGCTGTGATGAGCATGGACACACACACATGTTCTTGTGTTCCCAGATATGTATTCCCTCACATGGAAACAGCGACATATTCACATAGACATACCTGGCAGACACATGCATTTGTGCACAGACAGGCATGTACAGATAAATCTGTGTACACAGACACATACTAAGCCATACAGGTTCATGTACACACACACAAATACAATGAAACAAAACCAGACACTCTAACCCAAAAGTTAACCCAAAAGTGGCCAGTGTATATGAATATGAACTCTGTAACCTCCCAGACTTTCACTTTCTCCTTACACTTGTTTCTTAGGAACTCAGCAGCCTCCTAGAGAGGCTATGAGGCAGAAGCAAGAACTTGTGTCCTCATAGCTTCATGAAGCAAAAGTCTAAGTCCAGTGCCACCTCACCCACCATGGGGCTACAGATGCCCATTTGTAGGCTGGGCTTTCTGCATAGACCACACTTGTGATTTATGCTAACTGGCCATTTTTCTCCCTGTTATCCCCATTCCTCCACTGCCAACAGCATATACTCTGCAAGGGAAACCTGAGAAATGGTTGTGAGTCCCCTCAGAAAACAAGCTTATCTTCCCACCCACAGCTACTTCAAGTACCCATCAAATTAGAACCAGAATTATAAATAGTTACAACTTTACAATGTTATTGGCAACACATCTACTATACTATTTACAGCATTATAAATGTTTGTTTCTCTGGTTAAGCAATCCCTGAGAAAGAACAGTGTTCTGTGTTTGCCAAGGGCGAGAGGGCCAATGCCCAGGACACGCAGGATATAGGGGCGTGAGGTGGCATGTTGTGGGTTTCTGATCAATCTGCAGGGCCCAGCTCCAGGAACAGTAGGCTGTGATAAGAACCTGGCCAAGGCAGGCATACTGGCTAGAAGTGGACTCTCCCCTTGTTTAGCCCTGTGTCCTTCGGCTTTGGCCACAGGTGCTCAGAGTACTCTCAGGGTGGACACATATTTCAATGTCCTCGGCCTGACCTGATGGTATCGGGGAGCCCTGGCTGCCCCAGCAGTGAGCTGTCTGCTTTCTCAGCCAAAGCGCTCTCGCACCAGCAACATCAGCTTTTTCTTGCCTTTGTAGATTTGTTTGAGGTTGTCAATGAATTGAGCAAACTGCAGGTGGCCATCCTGAGGCAGCAGGAAGGTCTCCCGAGCCTTGCTCAGAAACTCAATGAACTCTCCATAGTGGCGAGGGCTGATGTGTGTCAGGCGGGAGTGTGTAGTATTGATGTAGGCATTGATGGTGGCATCCAACAGCTGGCGCAGTGGAGCTTTGTCAGTGGACATGAGCTTTCCAGAGCTACGACGGCCTGGGATGCCAGCCAGGCCAGGTGCAGTCACAGTGCAGCGCCGAAGGATGTCTGAAAGCACTGTGGCACAGTGCACACTCTTCACCACCAAGGGGATGAGGGCTGCCAGCTCATTCTTGCCCAGAGAATGGCTGAGGGCACAGGCCCAGAGCACATCATTGATGGCTGGGTGGGTGTCCTGATTGTAGGCCAGGTTGAGATGGCTCATGGCCAGTGAGGCCAGCTTGAAGGCACGTAGCGGGTAGCCACGGAGCTCCATGTAGCGGGCGATGGTGAACAGCTGTGAATGGGTCATGCCTCCGGCGGCAGCATCAATGGCAATCTGGTAGGCTGCCTCAAAGGCAATGTGGTCTTTTTCACAAAGTGTCAGGGCTGACAGGGCACAGCTCTGTGGATCCTTCATAGCACACTGCAGAGCCAGGGTGCGAGCACAGCTAGCCAGCTCCTCTCTCTGTGGATAGTCAAGACTGAGGCGCAGGATAGTGGTGTGGGACACGGCGGTGGCAGCCACAATGCTAGTGGCCTCGGTAGGGGTGAAGAGGGTGTACCAGCTCTGCAAGATGCTCACCAGGGCACGCACACCTGTCAGGGGAAGCTTGAACTCAGTCGTGATCATCCAGGTCCCAATCCTGGTCTGCCCAGATTACCATTTGGAGAACGAGCGTGGTCTACTGAGGTGAATTCTTTCTCCTCAGCAGCCCTGAGTTAATCAGAGGCAAACCCGGGCAAGGGGAGCATCCCAGAAGGCCAGACCCACTGTAGGGTCTCCCCATCCCCTTTCCCCAGGTCAGAGGGTTGAAGGATTTGATGGGTACCCAGCAGAGCCTCTCGTTTGCCTGCCCCAAAGCAGCAGATCTGCCTGGGGGTCTAGACTCAGGCTACAGTCTGGGCTCTAGGTGGGCTTCTGGACTTCCAAGTTTGTTTGGGGTTTCCCAGAAGCATGAACAGGGATTGGGACCAAACCACTGGGCCAACTACTTTGCAAGGGGTACATTTGAGGATTTGGTGGTTGAAATGTTCTTTCATTGTCTCTGATGAGAGTCAAAGTACTCCTGTAATCAGGTGATAGTCGAAGCAGTGAGTGTGGAACTTGGGATGGCTGAGCAGAGGCTCTCTTTTCTTACCAGAAGCCCTATTTTTTCCCTAGGCTATCAGCAATAGGAAAATGAGTGCTCTAAAGATTCACTGTCTTGTCTTAAGAGTCAGACTGCAAACGCTTTTCCCCTTGGGATAGAGGGAAGTGGAAGACTCACCCACTTCTGTAGCACAAGTCACCAACCACCGCACCATCTCCCGGCGTCTCCAGTTAAGCGTCGATAAGGTCATCCTCATCACCTGGGCAAAAAAAGAGGCATCCAAGTGGGTTAAGTGTAATTGTTTATTCCTTCCTCTTCCCATTCCCTTTGCCATTCATTTATGCACCAAGTAGTTATTGTGTGTTTGAACAGCCATTTCTCCTCTGTTAAGTACAGTTTAACTTCTTCTCCACCCCTCTCACCAATCAGTGAGGTTTATTTGATGACCTGTAATAAATGAAGCCCTTATTACCACATCTTACTTACCTGAAGGAAGGAGAGTGGGGTAAGGAGAAATAGGGGACACCATGAAACCTAAGGCTGTATATTGCTTCTGGCAAATTATAGTCTTCTCACATTGTGCTTAGTCAAGAATTTGTATTCTGGAAACAGAAAGAACCAGACTTTGCCCATGCCCACTCCCCTTGGTAGCTTATATCAACTGTCACTAGGCCATAAGCCAAAAGTGGCTCCATCTCTTGTAGCCCCATCTCTTCCTCCATACCTGTAACCCCAGCTCCAGTGCCACATTGAGCAGGGTGCTGTCAGTACTACTGTCTGCGGGAGTAGCTATCTTGAATGCATCTTGAGCCAATTTAAAGATGAGGGAAGAAGAATGAATGTGCTTCTGTATCACTTCCAGGATTGTTCGGAGCCTCAGAGTATCCCCTATAAATTACAAAGAGACAGGGAGGGTAGGCATAGTGTCTTTGTACAATCACCCCCAAAGCATCCCCAAATCATACCTGCTGATCACAACAGGTACTGGTTAAACTGACCACCATCAATCCAATGAATGCTTCTGGACATTACCATCCTTTCTGGGTGTCAACTATCTCCACTGAATCCCATGGATCTTCTTTTTTTCCCTAGTTACCAATAGGAGTTGACTTCTTGCCACTTTATAATCTGCTTCTAGCCCTCGTCCTCTTTTCCCTCAGACTTCTTACATGCCCCAAATAATTTTCTCTAACACTTAAAATTTGAGAGTACTCACACAGCTGACAGGATGATAGCCCAAAAAGCAGACCAATCCCATTCTTTGCCTCACTACAGCTCCCTGGGGCAAAAAGGAGGAGGATACATCTTATTCATTAAGCAAGGATTTTATACAAAGTACTAGTGCAGAGTTAAGGAACATACCACAGGAAGAACATATATACCATATGAAATGAAGGTCACTATATGAAGGTAATATAGTACATAAAATACTGGTCTACCTCATGGAGTAAAATGTAACCCACCCACTACTCCCTTCAGCAGTGTATTTCAGTAGATCTGCTGTTCTGCTCCCTGCGCTCTCTGGTGAATCCTCATACCCTCCACACCTCTGGCTTGTACCCCAGTTCTTGTATGCATAAATAATCTTTAAAAAACATTTTAAATTAATATTTTATGTCATTTGAGCAATTTTAGCTTTACAGAAAACTAAGCAGAGTGTAGAAAATTTCCCTCCATTCCCTCTCCCCCTTGCAGGTTCCCCTATTAGCATCTATTAGTTTGATGAAACAACACTGATATAATCCTTAACTAAAGCCCACAGTTTACATGAGGGTCCACTGAGTTATGTAGCCCCATGAGTTTTGGCAAATACACATAATCAAACATCCACTATTACCATATCATTGCTGTAACAGCTGCATCTCCTGTGCTCCATCTATTCTTGCTGAGGAATTCCCCGAGGAGGCTACTGTTCTTTCTCTATAGTTTTGCCTTTTCCACGATGTTGTATACTTGGAATCACCATATACAACCTTTTCAGACTGGCTTCGTTCACTAAATAATATACACTTAAGTTTCCTCCATAGCATTTTGTAGTTTGATAGCTCATTTCTTTTCATCATAAGATAATATTCCACCATATGGATATACCAGTTTGTTTATCCACTTACCTTTTCAACAACATTCTGTTCTTAGTCTTTTGGAAATCACAAATAAAGCTGCTATACACATTTATGTGCAAGGTTTTATATGGATATAGTTACTAACTCACTTGGGTAACTACCTTGGAGCAAAATTGCTGGATCATGTGTAACCATATTTAACTTTGTATAAAACCAAAATGGTTTTTCCAAACAATTTTCCAAAATGGTTGGATTTTTTTTTTTTTTTGCATCTCCACAAGCAATATGTGAATTTTAGCTTGCTCTGTGAGTTTCAGCTTTTCTCAGTACCATTTGTTGAAAACTATTCTTTGCTCTCTTGTCAAAATCACTTGACTATGTTTGTAGGGGTTTATTTCTGAGTTCTGTTTTCACTGATGGATTTTTCTACTCTTTTGCCAATACTAACCACACTGTAGCTTTACAGTAAGTTTTGAAATCAGGTAGTGTTCTCCAACTTTTGTTGTTCTTTCATATTGTGTTGGCTCTTCTAGTTCTTTTGCTTTTCCATATGAACTTTACAAAGTGTGTGTGTCAATAACCACAAAATAACTCCTGGAATTTCTGGATGAAGTTGTATTAAATCTATAATCAAGTTGGGAAGAACTGATATAATAATGAGTCTTTCTCCCTATGGACATGGAATATCTATTTATTTAGATCATATTTGACTTCTTTTATTAAAGTTTTATTACTTCCCTACATAGATCTTGTAGGTATTTGGCAGATTTATTCTGAAATTTTTTTTTGCTGGTGTATCTGCAAAATGTCAATTGTTCATTGCTCATATATAGGCAAACAACTGATTTTTGCATATTGCATGCTGCAAAATTGCTATAATCACATATTAGTTTTCTCTTGCTGATTAACTGGGATTTTCTACATAGACAATCATGTCATTTGCAAACAAAGAGTTTTATTCTTCCTTCCCAATCTGTGTACCTTTTGTTTCCTTTATCTTATTGTATTGTTAAAACTTCCAGCATGATGTTGCATGACACTCGTCTTATTTCTGATCTTCCAGTTTCTCTGCACTAAGCATGCTGGTAGCTATAGAGTTTTTAGATTGTTTTATAAAGCTCAGTTAGTGTTATTCCATTCTTAGCTTGCTAAGAATTTTTTTTTTAATGAATAGGTGTTACATTTCATTAATTTTTTATAGCATTTACTGATAAAATCAAATGCTCTTTCTTTAGCTTATGGATATGATGGATTACATTAACTGATTTTCAAATGGTGAATCAGTTTTGCATACCTGGAATCCCACTTGACTGTGGTGTATAATTATATATTAGACTTTGTTGTATTCAATATGCTAATATTTTGCTGAGGATTTTTACATTTATGTTCATGGATGAAACTGGTCTGTAGTTTTCTTTTCTTGTACTGTTTTTATCTGATTTTGGTATTAGAGTAATGTTGGCCTCATAAGATGAATTAGGGAGTGTTCTCTCTGCTTCTATTTCCTGCAAGAGATTGTAGAGAAATGGTATCATTTTTCCCTTAAATATTTGATAGGACTTACCAGTGAAATCATCTGGGTCAAATGCTTTCTGTTTGAAAGGTCATTGATTCAATTTCTTTATTTCTCCATGTGTGAATTTTGGTAGACAGTGTTTTCCAAGGAATTTGGTCCATTCCTCATCTATTTGTGGTCAGGTAGTTTTTCATATTCCTTTACTGTTATTTTAATATATATGGGATCAGTAATGATGGTCTCCTTTCACTTACAGTAACTTATGTCTTTTTTTTCCTCCATGGTTAACGTGGCTACAAGGTTACTAATTTTACTTCTTTTCAAAATATCCACTTTTGTTTTCACTGATTTTATGTTTTCTCATTTCCAATTTCACTTATTTGTTCCAACTAGCTATTTTCTTCAGCTAGTTATAAGTATATATTGTTCTTCTTTCTCAGGTTTTGTGATAAAAGCTTATTTATCTCCCAGTTATGGAGATATAATTAACATATATAACATTGTGTAAATTTAGATGCAAAATGTGATGTAATATGTATTACCACAATAAAGCCAACAAAACCATCACCTCACAGTTACCCTCCCTCCCCACCTCCCATGTGTGTGGTGAGGATATTTAAGAATTTTCTTAGCAAATAGCAAGCATACAGTATTATATTAAATACAGTCACCACCATACTGAACATTAAGACCTCCAGAAGTTATTCATCTTACAACTGAAAATTTGTACCCTTTGGCCAGTATCTCCCCATTTCTACCACTTATAAATCCCTGGTAACCACAATCTATTATTTCCATGAGTTCAGCTTTTGTAGATTCCACACAGAAGTGTCTTTCTTCTTCTTCTTTTTTTTATAAGTGCTTTCTATGGTTTATTTCATTTAGCTGAATGCCCTTTATGTTGTTGAAAATGACTGAGTTCTGAGTTTCTTTTTAATGACTGAATAATATTCCAGTACCAGTGAATGTGTTTGTGTACTATACCTTCTTTACCCATTCATTGCTCAATGAAAATTTAGGTTTTCCTCCTAAAGTTTGCTGATTGTGCATAATGCTTCAAAGCAATTAACATGGGAGTGCATTTACCTCTTTAAGACAGTGATTTCATTTATTTTGGATATATAGCCAGAAGTGGTATTACTGCACATATGTGGTAGTTTTACTGCTATTCATTGTGGCTGTACCAATTTATATCCCCACCAATAATGCACAAGATTCCTTTTTATTTACATTGTCACCAGCACTTATCTTTTTTTTTTGGGGATACTACCCTTTCTAACAAGTATGAGGTGACAGATTGATTTTAAATCTTCCTTCTTTTCTATCATGCAGTTAATTCCAACTGCTTTTATTGCATCTTACATTTTTGTTAGTTGGATTATAATTTTCATTTAGTTTAAAATATTTAATTTTTTTCCTTGAGATTTCTTCTTTGACCCATGTGTTAGAAGTGTTCTGTTTAGTCTCCACAAATTTTAGGGTTTTCCAGCTATCTTTCTGCTTATTGATTTCTAGTTTAATGTGGTCTTAGAGTCTACCTTGTATTTTTATTTTTTAAATTTACTGAGATGTGTTTTATGGACCAGAATGTGGTCTGTCATGGTGGATGACCCATGTGAACGTGAGAAAAATGTCTATTTTGTTGTTTGATGAAGAATGCTATAAAAGTTAACTAGGTTCACCTAATTGATGGTACTATTCAATGCAAGTATATTTTTACTGATTTCCTGCCTCCTGGCTCTGTCAATTACTGATAGAGATAAGTTGATCTTCTCAACTGTATTAGTGGATCTGTCCATTTCTTTTTGCAATTCTATCAGTTTTAGTTTCATATATTTTGGTGTTCTGTTGTTAGATGCATACATATTCAGATTATATCTTATTAGAGAATTGACCACTTTATTACTATGCAGTGCCTCTTTGTGTTCCTGATAATTTTCCATGTTTTGAAATCTGCTTTGTCTGAAGTTACTCTAAGTACTCCAGCTTTGTCTTGATTTGTGTTAGCATAGTATAGCTTTCCCATTACTCTGTTGTTGAAGAAATCTGAAGTGGTTAAGATGTGATTTTAAAGATGAAAATAACAAACAGCTGTAGTAGTATGCATGCTTGCTTTCTTGGAGAGTTTGTTTTCAAGACTCTTCCTGCTTTCAGTGAGGCTAGCATGGTAGTGAATTTCTAGGGTATGGGAAGTGAAGGCCAAAGTGAGACATTACCTCCTATGTGTTAATTGTATTTAAAGTCGTAGCCTGTTTTTGGAAGAAAATATTTGGTAATGTAAGGCCTATAAATTCAGTCATAGAGAAGTC